GAAATAGTTAGTCATGAAGATTGCACGGTGCTGGGACGATACCTTGTTCGAAGTAGGCGCTCGTGAACAGCATTATTGCCAAGATAGGAAGACATTCCGTGCGTATGACCAAGCATTTCTTTCTTGACAGAAAAGTTGAAATATGTGGAACACAAAACGAACTTATAGTATTATTTTGTTGTATTAAATCTGTGAATACTGACTGTTTTTTGAAAAGTGAAACCCCTTTAACCACGAAACTGAAAACAAAAATTATGTTGTGAATTGTTGGAAGATGTATTTAGGATAACTCATGTAATAGTGAAAGCAGGTTTGAGCTGTCAAATGAATATTCCATTTTATTTGCGCTATGTTCCGTAAAAGTGTTGCACCTCTTCAGGTGAACAACGGCTATCGATTTATTTTGTTGTATGAGATGTTTAATATCACTATATACTACAATTACATTCATGTCCTTAAAATTTGTTTGGAAAAAATCGTGATGAAACTTTTTTTACTGTAGAAATTTATTAGTACAGTAAAACGATAAATCTTGAGAAAAAAACAACCTAATATGTTGTGAATAGTTGGAAGACATACATGGGGTGGTACTCGCAACTATTCAGAGCTTTTCCTGATTTAACTTTTTTTAAAAAATATTTTGATTCTTACAAAGAGATAATAATACAAAATAATTCTAGAAGTTCATTTTATATTCCAAACTAATTTAAGTCATTCTCCAGTAAAAACTTTTTTAACTGAAGAATTTGTGGTTAGAACGCAATATTGTAATGCGAGTGTGACCGGAATGTGTGAATTCGTAATTGACATGAACTTGTTTTACGAAGCTGTTTTGGAAATAATAATTCTGAAATGATGATTCCTGATTTAAGTTATTTCTATGGAAAATTCTTGATCATATAAAAACGCTTCATCGAAATTTGGGGGAAAATATATACTTTTTAAAACTTGCATTCATGTAGTTTGCAAAATACCTTATATTACAGTTTATTTCTTTAAATGTTCACGTGCTTATAATATTTGTTAACCACGTTCTCTGTGCGCTGCTTAGTTTTGAAATTTATGATTATTTGCATTTGAGGATTACAGATGATTATACATTATTGATGCAGAGCCCGTAAGGTCTTGAACGGTCAATTATGATTTGGAAAAGGGATCTCCCCGCCATTGCGCCACTGTCTGTAGATTCTGCAAAGGTCCCTGGCCGTTGATGTAGAATTATAGAGAATGCAGCGTATTTTAAGATTATTGGAGCATGATTCACAAGGTTATTCTCACACTGTTTTTTTATTATTAATAGTGTTTCTGAGGAAATTTTCAACCTGTTTCTTTACTGAAACGCTCTACGCACAAAAGCAGAAAATAAGGAGAAGCTATTCTCACGAAACTAAATACAATATTCAAGCACGTACTTTCAAACTACGAAATGCCCTCGTTCCTTGGAATTTCGTGTGTCGTTCTTCGCTATGGTCCCCGATCTCTAGGCCTCAGGAGTCGATTCAGGAGCGGAGGCTCAAGGAATTGGGCTCCACAGTTGATACATTAAGAGAATATATTAAGCAAAAGATGTTCAAAGACCTTTCTTCTTTGCAATTAATTTCGATGGCCTTACGTTTAGTTTTTGGGTTTCTAGCAAACCACAGCTCAAGGAACAAAAAACATCTGGATTTCTCTCCCAAAAGGTATCTAAGCCAACCAGGCAAATTGTAGTGTAGAGCAAATAAATCTTTGAGTTATTGAAATTATTTCATTAAATGAAAATTTAACTAGTTTTATGGAAGTGTCTTAAGTATTTCATGGCATATTTTTAGCCATTATATACGTAAATCCAAAGTAAGGATTTTAATTTTCTATTTAGTACATTTTCTATGAAAAGTATATAAATTGTATACAAGTATAACTGATGAGATACGTATCACAGTTAATACTTTTAGTAATATCTATTATGAAGACCTGCATAAAAACATCTTTGGATAATTATAAATAACATTCAGGAATGCGTTAATCTTAACTTACAAAAGAGTTTCAATGAACTTGTGTACCATTAGAGTGATAAAAACCTTTAATTGCATTTACTTCTAAAGCGTGTTGAAATTCTATTTGTAGTTTTCTAATACCTCATAGTACAAAGTAGGATGTAGTCATTTTTTGCGTGCTGACCATTGATTTGTAAGATCTGACATTTCTTTAATTCCAGTAAAGTTAAGTTTAGATATAATCTCACATTTCAAAAACGTGTAACTGCTTTCTGAAGCCAATGCTCATGCAGATTATGCACTGATATGGTATAAAACACTAATCGTTCAGCACTACTAATTTTTAAGGATCTCATCTAGATTTTCTCATTACCATCTATTTTTACATATAACATTTATGAAGAGTAGCGCTTTACAAACTTCATCATTATGTTTGAATGCGCAAAAGTTGTTCATACAATACACAAAAACATGTTCGGTAGTTTAAGGTGCTTTGTTTTTTCCGTTTTAAAACTATTCGTATTCAACATTTTTTATTCATTTTATACCACTGTCGTTTTTCCTATTTTTCATTGGCCTCTCCACTATTTCGATGCAGAGTTCGAAGATTTTTCTACATCATTTTAACTTTTGTGCAGGGTTTTGTGTTTTATGTTAGAATGTTGAAATGGTTTTGTTACTTTTGGAAACTTACGACCTCTATATATAACATTTGAAACTATTTGCAAAAACTGAAACTGTCGTTAGCTTATGACATTTACTAAGTGTGTGTTATCATCTCTAGTCGAATATCTGAAAATTGTAGATTTATTAGCTTTTGCCAACACATTGCGCAAAAATTGACTCCCAGAATTATCTGCGTATTGTTTACCATTTAATTGCCCTACAAACCCGATTTCGAAGCTAACAGCAGGCCAACTTGTCGGAGTATATTATGTCAACCCCTCTGCCTTAGTCCCGAATTCAAAGACTTCGGAAGAGCGGATGTGTAGACAATAACGCTTCTGCTTTCTGGTAGCGGAGCATCATTTCTGTCGCACCAAATTTCCGCTCAGCGAGGCCATCAAAGTTGGAACACCGGAGCCCCGACGGGGGCTGGGGCTGGGGCTGGCGGATCGGCCGTGAGTGTTGCCCAAAGAGGCAGACAACTTCTCCTGGAAGAAGTCGTCGGAGCCTCGGCAGTGTCAAGCGCTCATTCTGAGCTCAAAGGGTGCACGTGGGTGGCTGGGACAGCAGCGGCTGAAGCCAGGGCTGCCTACGGGGCCAAGGGGTTAGCTCACTGATGTCAGCGAGCGTAGAGATGTGGATGACAGCTGACGTTAGAACGACGATAATGAAGAGCAAGCGGAAATAAATAAACAAAGCAAAAAAATGCGAACGGGAGATATATCAATAGATAAAATAACAGCGGCAAAGAGAATAAACATAAATGGATGAAGAAAAGAAAATGTCCAGGCAAACCTTGTGGCGATTGTGAGTCAAAAAATAAATAACTGCGCTCAAGAAAAATAAAGGCGGGGACAAAGAAAAAACGACAACAGAGGATTTGCCTGCAAGGTGAGGGGTAGACAAGGAGAGCGGGAACCCTAAAGTCAAAAAGTGATGAACGGCATATGAATTTGGAATTTAAAAAAAACGATCCAGCGAATGAAGTGAGGCGCAAGTGGAATGAGATAGAGCGGTATGGGAGACGGAAGTGGGAGAAAGGAGAGCGTCGGAATAATGAACGCAAGGATCCGGGGGGTGCGGCGCGGAGCAAAGAGGCTGCGTGGGGTGGAGCGTCTGGCGGCGGAAGAGGAAGGGGACGGCGCGCCGGATATTGCTGGCGGCGAGGCGGGAGGCCCGATATCCGTTGGTTAATTGGCACGCACCGCACCGTTCCGCACAGCGGCACGTCTTCTGCCTCGCACGCGCGTCCTCGGCCACGCGCGCCCGCCCTTCGCCCCCGCCTCCACTGCCATCACCGTCGCTTCAGCCCACGCTCACGTTGTCGCTGTCGGCTCCACTCGCCTCTTCCCACCCCAATCGACACAACTCTCCCGACCAAATTCGATTCAACTCTCAGCCGAACTCAACTCGTCTCGTTTCGATTCTCCCTGTCCTTCTTGACTTTACTCGACTCGATTCGATTCGATTTGCCTCGACTTTCTCCGTCCGTCCGTTTCGACTCGATTCTCCCCGTCTATCCGTCTCGACTTGACTCTCCTCGTCCGTCCGTATCGACTAGACTCTCCCCGACCGTCTCGACTTTCGAAATACAAAGCGGTAAACATCTAGATTCTTCGTGACTCGGAGGATTCTGAAAAGCTTAAAAAGCAAGTTCTACTATCCTGACCAGCTTAGCCTACCTGGCGGTCGGGCTCGCTCTTGAAAATTAAGAAAAGACAGAAAAAATATAATTGAAAAAGTGTAAAATTATTTTCAAAATAATAATAATAATAATAATAATAATAATAATAATAATAATAATAATAATAATAATAATAATTTCATATTACATATGCCATGCTTTGTTAAAGTAACGATGAAGTGCTACTGTAACACGATTTATTGTTATACTCATCCACCGTATGATAATGTTATACAAAAAATATTACTGTCACAATAAAAATGCCTATATGCAGAAAGGTAAAATTATAACGTTTGACTTTGATATGAGATTAGTTTCTTAATAAACACGAGTGCGTCTATTTCAGAACGCTCTTTTTTCTCATTCGTATTGAATTAAGGATTTGTTCTTCAGGTATTACATCCGTGGACCAAGCAATACTTTGACGAAAGTCCACTTTTTTCTGATTAATAATTGTAGGGCGATTATTGTTGATAAATATAAACCTGCATTAATAATACACTATAAAATATTTTTAGTCATATTGCAAACAGTTACAACTAGGAAATACAACAAAAAGACATTTCTCATATTGTGAAAGCGTATCGTCCAAATATTGTTCCATTTCAACGCTTAGCAAAATGGTGGAAATGTAAAGATTGCATGCAAATGTACTGAACGCAAACTATTCTTAAAACTTACACCTTCAGTAAACAGTCTTTTCAGTTATCGATGGTTACAAAATGGGAGCATGCCTTTACATCAAGTAGGAATAAACACGAACCAAGGAAATTGCTTACGCTTACAATGTTTTAAAGCGAGATATATTATGAAGATATGAATAAATAAGCAAACACGTGTGATTTTAATCTAAACACTGAAAAAATGTACTTTACAGATTATTAACTACAAGATGCCATTTTAAAGGAAATTTATTTTAAATGCGGATATATATTTTAAAGTGATCTGTCAATATTTTCACGGACTGAGAGGTAATTGCTGAGAGACAAAGTAAAATATAACACACCAAACTGGAGAACACCTTAAACAAAATGAAGAGACCTGTTAAGTTGTAGGTTAGGCGTATGGGAAAACCAACCCACGTTTCCTTCTCATGTAAATATTAATAAACTGAACAACTTGCATTCCAACAGCGGTGATATATGCATTGTGTTCATTTATCAGTTTGTAATTTTAAAAAATTATCAGTTTAATTTGTAGATTACTCAATTCAAATTGACTTGGGGTACTAACTAGTAAGAAAAGTAAACTTGAAAAGTTAAACCAACAAATTTTAATAATTCAAACAACAAATCACGACACTAAAAGTAATAATCGAATTTTTGTACGAGATCATTCGACGTTATCTGCACACAATACTTTTTCTGCAATCTAAGGATGGGTTATTAAAGCGTCTAATGTTTTACGCCCAAAATGGTGAGCTGCAGATGAGGTAAAAGAACGGTTTCGATCACCAACCTATACTCTGGGTCGACATCCACCGGAGCATTGTAGTCCTGTTGGCGAGACTTGCGGAAAAGCTGAAGGGAGATCCGCCCCATTAGCAGCGTAGGGCTTGTCGGTGCGGTCGGTTCTGCGCGCGAACAGCGACTGAACGCGACTAGTTCCTAGGGGCAGCACATAGCGGCAGACACCGCATCCCGGACGCACGCACGTCCTGTGATGGCCCGTGACGCGGTTGCTGCACCTTCCTCCGCGCACGGCTGTCGGGAATCGCGAGAATTTTCGGCGAGAGAAACTAGCTTCCCGCTGCCAGAGGAGAATTCTCGATGTCAGCTACTCCGATCGGTCGGTTTCTGCGGCTTCCTCCCATCAATTTAAGGCAGAATGTTAAAGAATGGGCCAGGAGACTGAATGTGAATCTTCCTCCTGCTGTTCCCAATGCTATTTTGAGGACAGGTGGCAGAACGTTTCCGCTTCTCCATATGGCCCACTACCCACCGCCGGCTGCGATAGCTCATCAGCAACATAGTTTCCATCGGTGACCGGGAGGTCCTAGGGGGTCGCGTCCTAGGGAGACGGATTTTAAACACTAGTTACAGAGCGGAACCGTATTCAATCGGTGCTTGGGGAAGAATTTTGGCAGTGGTTTTCCGAGATTTCTCCAACCAATACCGAGAGAATGTCGTAACATTACCTTAACAAACGGACCGCACGTGAACTTTCCTTCCTCATACGTGTTCCCTACCTATCCTCTTTCGTACTTCCACACATGTCGGGAGACCGTTAGAGTTTGCCCAGAATGAGCGGTTCCCCGGTGAAGGAGATCTCCATGGGCGGAAAATCCTCGCAATCCGACGTGTACGTCGCAAACTGATCTCGAGTTCCAGCGGAGGAGGAACCGCCGTCTCCCGGGATCCACTCAATTTGTGGGTAAAATAATCTAAGAAGTCGACACGCCCGAAATCGTCCTTCTCTAAATCTCACTGTCTCACTCTCTCGCACTCTTCCTGACTTGAAGTCACTCAAGCTGCTTGAAGGTTGGCAGAATTTGAAAGAATTCTGAATGTATAATATAATTAACTTCATTTAGTATTTAGTTCAGTTATATAGATATTTTATTTGAGGATTGAATGATTTGAGACTCAGAAATGCTGTTACCTTAAAGTCAGCCGATTGCTTATTGTTTATTTTCAAAGGCGCATGCTGTTATCGATTTGAATTGCAAAAATGCGTTAAAACAGTTTTTTCTTCGGTAACTATTGAGATGTTATTACGAAATAAATTTGAAACTTCTGAAACGGTACTACTTATTTCTTAAAAACAACAACAACAAAAACAACAACAAACGTTCCGACAATGTTCATATATTGTCATCATTAGGCTGTGAAATTATTTACGTACAAAACAATTAAACTTAAACAAAAAAACAACAAATTAGAACCTTTAAATATTAAAATAAATCCATACTAACCTTCTATAATGAATATTAACATTACAAATATGACTCAGACGATGTAAAAGTGTTTACTATTAGTACGTACTCTTTAATGATTCTTTTTTTGCAAAGAACAAATGTGTCATCAGTATGAAGAACTGATCTCCCGTATCTTATAGACGTGGGCCTATCGTTTACGTATAAAAGAAAGAGAATAGGGTCTAAAATCGAATCCTGCGGGGACGCATGCTGAAATGGCAAAGGAATAGATAGAAAGAATAATAGAATAAATAGATAGTAAATAAATGTTCTTTCGTCTTAGCGCGGTATTTCTGCTGCAGGTAATTTTGGGAGTAAAATGTTATGGTCAACGACATCAAAACCTTTTGAAAAGTGAAAAAATATTCCAATAGATTCTTCATTTTGATTCACAGATGAAGCAACATTTTTAAGAAAAGAAAAAAGTGCAGTTTCGATAGATTTTAATTTTCTAAATCCATGTTGAGGATCTGAAAACTCTTCTCTTTTCCGCATAAATGGTTCCATTCGATTATAGAAAAGCCTCTAATATTATTGAGAAAACTGGCCGATAATTATGAATTTAATTTTTGTTGCATTTTCAGAAAACTAGCTTATTTTTTTCTAATTTGAGAATATCTGGAAATATTCCTGTGCATGAAATATTGAAAATATGAGTTAGGAGTAGTGAAAATTATAGTCGAAATATTCGCTCTCGTGTAATAGAACTCATTTTTATACACAAATGAACTACTGGTTTCATTTTATAGTGTTTCTTACAAAAAAATCATCTCCGTCTTGCTCTGCTAGTCACGCAATCATCATAAAGATAGCTCAATAAAACGAAGCTACATTTATAGTCTAGAGTAAAAACAAGGAGCCATCTCAGCATTTGCTCAATGGATTACGAGAAACTGGACGATAAAACTGAACGAGATGGAGGTCATTTACCTAGAAGCTGAAGTACAATACTTGTTGCAGGCATACGTCTTTTAGAATTATACAAGTGAGTTGTTGATATTGACACCGGCAGAATACGATTTTTATGGCGTGTGTTGTCAATACAAGTACTAAACAAAAACTTGTATAGATACCTGTATTGCAATGAAATAGGGTTCAAACCTTGAGTAGATTAGTTTTGACAGAAACCGCTGATTTTCAAATGAAATGGAATGTAAATAGTAGTATTTCAAAGTCAATGAGTATAGGTTTGCCCTACTCGCCTGGATGGTATTTGCTTATTCACTATTGGTTTTGAAATAATAGTGTGATTGGACATTGTTAGTGTAATGTAATAATAATGCATTGCGTACCACATTAATAAAATCTCAGAATTCAGTCATAGTTTCCTTTGCAAACACTTTTGTCAACATCAGTCCCAGAGGACTGTTATCGAAATGAAAAAAAATATCGCAGTAGTGACTATCAAGCTATCACTTCCAAAAGAATAAAACTAGGGAGCAAAGCCACTGCACACCTAATCAAAGGATTGGAAGTTTGAACAACAGAGATCCGCTTTGGCAATTGAATGGCGCATTACGCCAGATAAGATATAAAGAAGGCACTAATTCCTACTCGAGGTAGCGCACGTGAAATTTCATTGGGCACGTGCGTATTATGTAATCCAAGCGACGACCCAAATAATTAGAACACTTGTAGTTATGATGTTATTCGAACTGTCTATATGAGAACTTAAAACAAATGTGTAAACATAGAAATGCATAAAAAAGTGCAATCTATTAGCAACTCATAACATTACACCTGGTTTGCAGAGGATATAATGGTCAAGTGTTCCTAATTCGAACCTTATCCGAAAAAGGCATTTTAATCAAATTCGCCAAAAGCGTAGGCTGAGGCTGAGTTTAGTCGATTACCGCTGCAGTAGCTTTGACCGGGAGATCCTAGGGTTCGACTCCCGACGGTGGCCGGATTTTCAACACTAGCACGATAGCTAGGACGAATTCAGCCGCTGTCTGGAGGAGAATACTAGCGGCTGGCTGTATTCTAGTCGGTGGTTTCTCCGATCAACACCAGGCGAATGCCGGAGTAGTACTCCAACAAACGGGCCACGGACAGCGCGCGATCTTTCCTTCCGCTTCCTTGCCCTAAGCTCACCGCTTAATCACACACATTTAGGCACACATGCACTACATTACCACTCATGTGGGGAGACCAGTCGAGAACTTCGAGCTTTTACCGTCTGGGACGGTGCCCAGCAGTTGGAAGATACCAGAAAGGGGATAACCGCTCAGACCGACATGCAGATCGGCGCCGGATCTTGCCATCCAGTGGTGTAAGAACACTGCTACCGCTCGTGATTAAATACACGCTTTACAGTAATAGGATTAATGGCGGTAGCTGTTCACGCACCCGGAAAGACGAGAAAATCAATCGAAACAAAAATCATCTTTGACGACAAAATAGCGATTAGATCATGATAAACAATTTAAGACTAGCACGTATGCCGACGCAAATGCTTCCTATTAAACGAGAGTAAACATTCTTATCTGGTCTAATGTTTCCAATAACGCTCGTTGCAATCCTTATTCACACCTAGCGCAACGTGGCAGACCTGTCCTCCATCTCCCTTTTTCTCCTTCCCTCTCCCCAACTCTCTCTCCCCGACTCTCTGCCCATCTCCTATGTCTGCTTCTGTCTCCCTCTGTACCACAAGTGTCCAAACTAAATCCAGAAGTTTCCCGAAAGTGAATATTACCCGGTCGATTTAGCCAAACTCGAGGCGCCGATTGGTTTCTAGGAAATTTTTAACACTGTTTCAGATAATATTACATGTATTATTACGTAAAGATTATAGATAAACGAGAAACTTGTGCTGTGGTAGCAATACTAGTTCTCAAGGACGTCCTTTTGCGGCAATTTCGAATAATTCAGTACTAAACTGCTGCTTTCATTCATTAGTTATTAGCTCTGCCAAAATCCAATACATAGAACCTGCATCAAGAATAAATTTCCTTTCCATGCATTCATAAATAAATTCTCAGATCTCGAACCAAAGAAGAGACATTATATAAAGATACCTCTACCACCCTAGTAGTAATGTAAGTTGTATTTTAAGATTATTAGTAAGATTATTGTAAGTTAATTATAAGTAGATATAACCAACTACAGCAATTGTTGAGTGTATTAAACTCTGATCTTTGTATTGCTCTATTAAAAAATAATAATAAGTTTAAAAAAATAAAAAATATATTAGCGGAGTTTGCTTGTTCTTGTTACCCTCTCCTTATTCATTTTATTTTAATATTGTGTATATATTATTAAGATATTTTAATCTAATATGTTCGTACTAATTATTTCTGAGACCTTTTGAACTACTCAATTATGTCTTTCTTTGTGTTTATTATACAATTTTGAGTTGCATCGGAGTGGTTCTTGGTTTATTGAAAGAAATAATTAAGCAATAGCCTATGTATGTGAGTACCAGTGTACGTCTAATAGATTGTTGCATATCATCCATATTTAGCAGTAGGAATTGTCATAATTTCTTAAGACTTCTTTCACATGTATTATTTGAAAAGATTATACATTGTACGTATTATATTCCTTTTTTTATCTGTTCTTGTAATGATGATATTGCCTATTGTCGTCGTCGTTATTGTAGTTATTTTTCTTGTTGTGGTTGTTGCTGTTGTTGACGTCGTCGTTGTTGTTCTGCTTCTTGTA